GGGGGAGCAGTGGCAGGGAGGGGCAAGCAGTTAGGAGATAAAATGTTATTTGTGAAGGACAAAAAAAAAATTCAGCTCATATTTTATCCTGCTTCTGGACTATAAGTTCCATTAGAACAGATACCATGTCTCACATAAAGTTCATATTATTATATTATATTATATCATATCATATATTACTATATATTATATTACTATATATTATATTACTATATATTATATTACTATATATTATATTATATTATATTATATTATATTATATTATATTATATTATATTATATTATATTATATTATATTATATTATATTATATTATATTATATTATATTATATTATATTATATTATATTATATTATATCATATTTATGCTTAGCATAGTAGATATACAGTAGGCACTTTGTAATGTTTTGTTGTGTTTCTGGTCAACAAACACCATCCCTGTAGCAGTGAGATTTATTTCCTTAGTCTCTACTTTCAGACTATCTCTGGATCATCTCAATAAATTTGGCAGCTTTTATCTTGAAGTTTCTTTTTTCTTATTCTTTTTCCTTCCCTCTGATACTACACTCCTACCACTTTTGAGTTGTAGAAGTATGTTTTCCTGGAGAATGGATGTACACAGTTCAATTTATTTCAACAAAAATAAATAAAGTAGACTGAATGCCTCTCATCACCAAGTTCTTCCTGTGTCATAATAGAGTTCCATATCCTGCTCTGTGGACCACAACAATGAGAGAAAGGGAATAGAGATATGTCAAACTATGTCACCAACATTGTGGACCACTATTCCAAGTCCATAGACCAGGCTGTTGGAAATCGCTGCCATTGTATTCCAAAATGGTAACATTTACAATGTTGAATTGTTTACATTAAGTATTGGCAGAAGTTCAAATTCCAGGTCTCCAAGTGAGGTTTAATGCAGGATTCAACAACTAACCCACACACACCTACTTACCATGCAATCATAAGCACTCCTTTCCTATCTGGGGTAAGGAAAATAAAGTTGGGGGAGAACAAAAAAAAGTTGAACTACCCAAGATAGCTTAAACATTTGGAAATACTTAATAAACATCAGATCATTGGCTTTAGAGCCTGAAGGGAACATAGAAACCATCTATTTCAGCTCATTTTACAGCTAAAGAAATTGAATTTCAGATATGTTAAATTACTTGTCCAAAGTCTGGTAGCAAGTAGCAGAATCAGGATTTGAAACATGTTTTAACCACATTCAGTTTAACCAGATCACAAGTTCTCTTCAGGAGGTAGCTTGACTACCATGTACTGGATCTGAATAAAGTTAGATCACCTAGCATCAAATTCTGTCTCCAATAATTACTGCTGCCTGACCAAGAGCAAGGAACTTAATGTCTTAGGACCCAAGTTTCCTCCTCTGTAAAATGGGATCAAGTATAATATGTATGCTATGTTATTCATGAGATTGTTTTAAGGAAAATACTTTACAAAGCATTATATAAATAGAGTTATTATTAAAACACACTGCCCTTTGGGTGGCTATCTAGAAGTTTCTGAGTCTGGACAGTTCTATCATTACTAGATTGAAACTTTTTTTAAGGCAGAAATTGACTGTGTTGCTTTTTTTTTTTAATAAAACATTCCTATTCCCAAGGTCTTTTGCCTAATAAATGTTTGGGGGGGGGGGTTTGTAATTAGAAAAGTTAGATCCACAGTTTAATTATTCCGTTCTGGATTTCCATAGCTCATACAACATTCCTAAGAAATGCAACACTTAGTAACATCAAAATTCTCTGAATATGAAATTAAGACAAAATAGCTTAGGATTTATGCCACTAGCCACTTATAATTGATTCATATTATTTGAAAGTATGATTATCTGGGATATATTCTTCTTATGTTGTTTTTAATGTAAATTTCATTTTTCATTATTTTTGTTTTTCTACTTTCATGAAAAGTCAATCTTAACATACCATTTTAAGGATTTTCCATATTTGTTTAACCTGCATAGGGTTTATATTAAAAGAGTTTATATTAGGTTTGTATTAGTAGGGTTTATATTAAAAGACATCCTCAAAAAAATGGAAAAACCACAGTTAAATCTCAGTCAGATAAGGCTAGGAAGTTATGATTGCAAGATTACCTAAAAGCCTTTTTTTGTTCCAAAACCTGATCCTAACAGCATTTTTAGCATTATTCCATTTTCTGCTTTAGTGATTAGAATACAATGAAAATAGCTAAATTTTTTTTTCCAGGATAAAGGACTATGGTGAGCACTGGGAACAATAGTAATCATTGGTCAATCCTTCTTTCTTCCTTCTCCTTCTTCTCCTCTTCTTCCTCCTCTTCCTCCTTCTCCTTTTCTTCCTTCTCCTCCTCTTACTCCTTCTCCTACTCTTCCTCCTCTATTTCTTCTTCTTCTCCTCTTTATTTTTTTCTTCTTTCTTTCTCCTCCTCCTCCTTCTTTTCCTCTTCTTCCTTTTCTTTCTCTCTCTCACTCTCTCTTCCCAACTAGTTTTTATTACATTTATCTTATACTTTTCTCCATTAATGATAAAATAATAATAATAATAATAATAATATAATAATAATAATAATGATGATGATGGGATAGAGATAGGGACTATACCTATGATTTCACTGGCCCAGGTAATTCCTGGGTGAGAAAACTGTTACCAACACAAATCAATGTCTTCTAAGCAACTTGCAGTCTTAGGGATAGCCTACAGCAATCAGATGCTGTAACTTGTTCAGGTTCAGATACTACTGCAGGCAGTATTTGTACAAAGTAGGACTTCAACCTAGATCATTCTTTGAACCTAGCTCTCTATTCACTATGCTACAGTTCAATGATAATAATAATAATTGATGATGATGATGATGGTGATGGTGATAATGAAAAATAATTGTAATTTGTAAAAAGATGAGAAAATAATACTAGCTAACCTTAGATAGCTCTTCACTATGCCATCCTGTCATTTTAGCCTCAAAAAGAGTAAGATATAGCTCTACCCTCAGAGTTCACAGACAAATTAGGAAAATAGGATGCAATGTTTTACTGGCATAGCTACAGAAGAGTTAAGTATAAAGAACATATGGCATGCCAGTAATGTGGTTGCCCTCCACAAAAAAAAAAGCTTCTTGTTTCGTAGTAACACCACTAATGCATTATACCCCAAACCACCATAGGATTATAAAATCTCTCTGTAACATTACTCAGTCAATTACCCATTGAAAACACTGTTCCTGTGAGACAACTGTGCACTTGCAATGGTGTTTCAGTTGATACCATTGTTTCAACAATATGAATATACAAGAGATATAATAAAATTAAGAATGTCTTTCTTTTTTTGATGATGATGAACTTAATCATTGACAAAAATAAATATTTCAATATACAGAGGATGAAAAAGAAGATTACATAGGAAATTCTGTGAACTGTTACATAGGTTGTTTTTATAAATCTGTATTATATTTAATCTGTATTAAATTTAATGAAATTGCCTTATTTGTGTTTCCCTCTGAATTTGTTGTTGTTTTTGTTGTTGTTGTTTTGTTGTTTTCTTCCATATATTAAGGTTCTATCGATGCTCTTTTTTGTCTTTTAAAAAAGTTTTTGGGGAAGGTAGGTAGCACAGTGGATAGATCACCAGCTCTGAAATCAGTAGGACCTGAGTTCAGATCCAGCCTCAGACACATAAAAACACACTATGTGACTGTGGTAAGTCACTTAACCCCAATTGCCTCACAAAAAAAAAAGTTTTGTCTCTCTATCATAACCTAGCAATTCAACCCCACCATGCTCATTTAGGAGCCCTCCCTTGTAACAAAAGAAAAAAAAAAGCAAAATAATCATCATGTTGGCCAGTGATGTGTGGATTAGAAAGCAGGAAGAACTGGATTCAGACTCCCCTTTCAGATTCTTACTAACAGTGTGACTCTAGACGAGTCACTTTACTAGTAAGTCTCAATTTCTATGTCTATAAAATGTGGATAATAATAGCATCTACTTCACAGGGTTGTTATGAGAATCAAATGATATAATATATGTAAAGCACCTTGAAAACCCAAATATATTATAGAAATGGTTGTTGTTGTTGTTGTTGCTGTTTGGTCGTTCAATTGTGCCCAACACTTCATGACCCCCATGGGCCATAGCATACCAGCCCCTTGTGTTCTCAACTATCTCTCAAAATCTGTCCAAGTTCATGTTTGTTGTTTTCATGACACTATTCACATCATCCTCTGCCTTCCCCTTTCCCTTTTGCCTTCAATCTTTCCCAACATCAGAGTCTTTTCCAAAGAGTCCCACTTTCTCACTATGTGACCAAAGTATTTAAGCTTCAGTTTCCAGTTTCAGTATCAGTTTCCTTCCAGGGAATAGCCTGAATTAATTTCTTTAAATATTGACTGACTTGGTCTTCTTGCTTTCCAAAGGACTCTCAAAAGTCTTCTCCATCACTACAATTTGAAAGTGTTGATTCTGCAGCCCTCAGCTTTCCTTATAGTTCAACTCTCACAGTCATACATTGCTACTGGAAAAACTACAGTTTTAACTATACGGACTTTTGTCAGCAAGGTCATGTCTGCTTTTTAGTATGCTGTCCAAATTTGGCATAGCTTTCCTTCTAAGGAGCAAGTGTCTTTTAATTTTATGGCTACAGTCACTGTCTGCAGTGATTTTTGAGCCCAAGAATATAAAATCTAACATTGCTTTGAATTCTTCTCTCTCTATTTATCATAAAGTAATCAGTTGTAAGAACTGAGTTGTTGTTATTGTTATGTTAAGCTTCAAGCCAGCTTTTATACTTTCCTCTTTCACCCTCATCAAGAAGCTTCTTAATTTTTCTTCACTTTCTGCTATCAGAGTATCATCTGCATATCTGAGATCAGTAAAATTTCTCCTGGCAACCTTAATTCTGAATTTTGATTCAGCCAGCCTGGCATTTTGCATGATATAAAAAAATAAAGTGACAATAGACAGCCTTGTCATAATAACTATTATGGATATCATAGACAACTGCTTACCAACTGATAATGAATACTATTAGTTCAGAGGAGGGAAAGACTTGGAGTGACCAGTCATCTGATCTAAGAAGGCTACCTAGAAGAAGAGAAATTCAAGATGAATGTCAATCAACAGACATTTATTAAGGATTTACTGTTAGGCAATGTGCTAAGGATTGAGGATAGTAGTAAGAAAGTCAAAAGAAAGGCAAAAACATATTTTTTGTCCTCAAGGAACTTATATTCTAACAGGGGGGACAATATGCAAACAAATATGTATGTACAAGATATCTACAATGTAAATGGGAGGTTATCTCAGACAGATATTAAAGGATGGGCAGGATTTTGTCAGATGGACAATGAAGGCATTTCAATAATGGGGAATGTCACAAGCACATACAAAGAGGCAGGAAAACAGAACGTGTATTTGATGAATTCTGATTAGATCAGTTCTGCTGTAGTAGATAGTTTTCAGGGGAAAGAGTGGGAAAATTAGCAAGGTAAACTTAGTCTAGACTGTGAATTTCCTTGAATAACAAACAGGCCTTTCCAAAAAAATTACTCAGAACTCCCCTGGAAATCTACTTTCTTTAACCCTTTAATTTTTTTAAATTTGCATCATTTCAAAAAATATATAAAAATGTTTTAAATGATGCATCTTAAATTTAATAATTTGTTAAAAATTTGTGGAGTTTTCTCTGCATTAAAATTTTGATGACATAGTATTGCATCGTGTAACCATATAGTATCATATTGTAAACAAGTCATTACATGTGCATATTCCTGCCAATGCATGCTGTACTTCCCAACAATGCATGACATGTTGGCCTGTCAACACTTGCTTGTTAAAAACTGTCTCTGGATTTGACCACTAATCAGTTCTAACTTGCATTTTGTGTGTTGATTTAGAAAATAATGTAATCACTATGACTTGAGCTCTGTTACACAACAGATGAGACATGTACAAATGGTTTTTCAAAATTTTCTCATCTTCTCTTCTTTCCATATGCTTCCACCACTCCCTTATTTTTATTCAATGTCCCCCAATTACATCCAAGGCTACTACCACCACCACCACCACCCAATCTTTCTAGTGCCCCCCAGAGAGCTGCATCGCCCACTTTGGGAACCTCTGTATGCATTACAAAATGAAATCCACATCTCAGAAAGATTAAGATATTTTTGGAAGAATAATCTGTCAAACAATCAATCAAGGAGAACTTACTAAATTCCTACTATGTGTTAGCATTATGGTAGGTATTATGATACAAAGAAAAAAAAGAAATGGTCTCTGCTTTAAAGGACCATTTTATCATGAAAGATAACATTTATACATATGAATAAAAACTAAGTTCACAGTAATTTTGGAATAAGGGCACTAGAAACTGAAGGAATTACAAAAGGCCTCATGTCGGAGGTGAGCTTTAAAGGAAGACAGGAATACTGCAGGTGGAGGTGAGGAGGAACTTGTGAAACAACTTCTGCAAAGGCACAGGAAGTAAAATATTGTGAAAGGGGACTGCCAAGTAGGGCAATTTCACTTGGGTCACAGATTACATGAAGATTAATATGTGATAATCTGGGAAAAGTAGGTTATGGTCAAGTTGTGAAGGATTTTAAATGCCAAACCAAAGAGTTTGAATTCAATGTTAGCATAAAGAGAGTGGCCCTGGAGCTTGTTGAACACAGCAGTGAGATGATCAGACACATACTTTAGGAATATTACCTTGACAGTACTATGAATGATGTATCAGGGAGGGAAGGCATTTAAGGCAAGGGGGCTAATAAAATAGTTATTTCAGTAGTCCAGCTGAGAAGTGATGAGAACTTGAGCTAGAGTAGTGGCTATATGAATGGAGAGAAGAAGAAGGAGGCTAAAGGTCTTATAGACATAGAAACAGTACGTAGCAACTGATTGTATATGCAGGAGGAGGTGAGGGAAATAAGGAGATAAGAAAGACTTGAGTTTTTGAACCTTTGTAATTAGAAGGATGGAGATGTCCTCAACAGTTAGAAAGAATAGGAGCAATGAATGCTTGGAAGAAGTGATAGGCAGGGAGCAGTCAGGGCACCAAATTGGAAGGCCATTGCAATAATCTAGATGAGGAGTAGTAAAAGTTTGTGCTAGAATGGGCATGCTCAGAGTGGAAAGGAAAGGGCAGATAGCAGATATATTGTGGAATTGAAAAAAACAGTATTTTCTTTTGAGCAAAATCTCAAAGGAAAGACTGAGCAACATCTGGTACATCTGGTAAATTATGTACTTTCCCCAGCTCAATGTCCTAGTTTGTTCTCTGTCTCTGGCATAACTGGCTCTCCCCATTATTCCTCTATTTTATATGACATAGCATCATTCTTCAAAATGCCTAGTTATTCAGATGAACAGCCCTATTCAGGACTGACTGTAATTCAGTGTATGCCACAATCCCAGTAATAGAAAAATGCTGCCTGGCAGAGTCTGTTAGCCTCCCACTACCCATATGACACCTCCTTTAAATTGCTTCTCAAGAGTTGCTGCTTCAAGAAAGTCTTTCACATGGCAACACACAACCCTTCAACAGCAAGTAATGAATGGGCTGTCACTGGATACCTTTCCATTGAGTTCTGTTTCCCATTTTTCTTTGAGTAAAAGCTACATCCTTCTTTCAGGCTGTAGTTTGTCTCTGTGATGAAGTTGATATGTCATTGATTAGAGTTCAAAATTATGTTTGTTGTGATGCTTAGTATATTAATAGTAACTAGTAAATGCTAAATACCCTTTTAGATTGTTGCCGTGTTAGGAAGAACATACAAACTTTGATTATCAAGAAAAACTTAGGCATAGAGCATCACCTGGATGTGTGATCTTGGTAAATTGATCAGTTCTCTGGACCTTAATATCCACATCTACAAGAGTAAGAGGTGGTATTAGATCAAGTATTCTTTAGGTCCATGGAACCCCTATTGGGAGATTTCAATGGGTTCATGAAGAAAGAAAAAGAGAAAGCTATTAATGACCTAAATGTATTTTTTTAAAAGTTAGAAATGATAGATCTCTGGTGATTACTTAATAGAAATAGAAAGATAGATAGATAGATAGATAGATAGATAGATAGATAGATAAATAGATAGATAGACATGTGTGTATACACATGTATTTTATATACCCATATGTGTGTATAAATATATGTATATATGTGTATATATGTGTATTATATATATGTATATGCACATGTCTGTGTGTATGTCTCTGTGCATAGGTATATGTGTGTGTATATGTATATATGTGTATATATGTATATTATATATATGTATATGCACATGTCTGTGTGTATGTCTCTGTGCATATGTATATGTGTGTGTGTGTGTATATATATATATATATATATATATATATATATATATATTAGCACTGCATGACACTTTAATAAATACTGATCATTTTTTAGGTATAAAAACCTTACCGGCAAAACTGAAAAACTAGATGTATTAAACACAATCTCTACTGAGACTAACAAAATATAATATATTCAATAAAGTATCATTGAAGAAAGGATAAAAAATTGATTAGGAACTAAATAAGTATATCCTAAATATTTAGTTGGTCAAAGAGTAAATCAGAGAAACAATAGATTTCATCCAAGAAAATAACAATAATGAGAAAAGAAACCAAAATTTAAGGGATGTAGCACTACAGTTCTTTGGAGGAAATTATATTTCCAAACTCCTTTATGAATGGAACATAGAAAGAACCAATCAATGAACTAAGCATGTAATTTTAAAAATTCTTCTAAAAATCAACAATTTTTTAAACCCCAAATTAACACCAAAATAGACATATTTAAAATTAAGGAAGACATTTTAAAAATTGAAAGCATAAAGAAAATTAAAAAGCCATCAATTAATAGGTAAAACTGAGATTTTTTTTAAATATTAAGTAGATAAACCATTAACAACTTTGATTTTTAAAATAGTAAAATTAAATTACTAGCACCAAAAGTGAAAGGAGAAGCAATAACAGGTGAAGAAGTCAATTCAGGTCAGTTATTTATTAAGTGCTTATTAGGTTGAAGCACTGTTAATTGCTTGACATACAAAGAAAGGCAAAAAAAAATACTCGCTCTCAAGGGCAAGAGGAGATAACATGTACATAACATGTAAATGATAGGGATGAAATATATAAACTACTATCTACATATAAAATATACACAGCATAAATTGGAGGTAATCTCAGAAGTAAGGCATTTGGGGGAGAGAAGAGTGGAAATGCCTTCCTACAAAACATAATATTTGAGATGAGTCTTGAGAAAAGCCAGGGAAGCCAAGAGGCAGAGAAGAGGAGGGAAAAGATTCCAGACATAAGGGACAGTCAGTGAAATCAATCAATAAATATGCAAACATTTGTTAAGTGCCTACTAAATGCCAGGAACTATGATAAGTGCTGAGAATTTAAAGGAAAAAAAAGGAATAAAAAGACAGTCCCTGCCTTCAGCTTACAATCTTCTTGTTCAAGTGCTCCCATTCCACCCCCATCTCCTCCAACAGACTTTTTCCATCATCTCCATTCTTTCACTTATTTTCAATATCTCCCTTTCTACTGGCTTCTTTCTTATTGCCTACAAACATGTCTATGTCTCCCCTATCCTAAAAAATCCTTACTTGATCTTTCCATCCCTGCTAACCTTTGTCCTATTTCTCTTCTGCCCTTTTTAGCTGAACTCCTTGAAAATGCTGCCTGAAATAGTTGTCTCCACTTTCTTTTCTTTTTTTTATTATTATTTTATACCCCCCCCATTATATGTCTTTTTTCTCTCTTAACCTATTGTAATCTGGTTTCTGATCTTATCATTCCACCTAAATTGCTTTCTCTGAAGTTACTAATGATCTCCTAATTGTTATATCTTTTCTCAATCTTTATTCTCCTTGACTACTCTGCAGCCTTTGACACTACTGATCACTCTCTCTTCTTTAATATTCTCCTCTCTAGGTTTTCAGGACCCCACTCTCTCCAGGTTTTCCTCTTACCTATCTCACCACTCCTTCACTGTCCCTTTTGCTGGATCTTTCTACAGACCACACCCTATTTCCATAGATATCCCTCAGGGTTCTCTTCTGGGC